CGGATCCCCGCCGCCCTCCCGGCACTGCCCAGCCCCTGGACACGCGTGGGGACGTAGGGCGTGGGGTGGCGGTAAGTAGGTAGGTGGCCCGGCCCACCTGCGGCATCTGAAGTGTTCGGGTGGTTAATGAAACACACCTGGGAAAGTCCCTGTCATGAACACAGCCGTCAGGGGCACTGCTGTGAGGACGCACAGGTGTGTGGCTGACAGGCGGGGTAGTGCCTAAAATCAAGGGAAACGGAAACGTCGGGCAGCGCTGAACCCATCGGGATGCAGAAGCCGCCAGGAATTTCGGTGTCGATGCAGACGGAAACAAGCTGGCTCCATGAGCACGCCTCCGGAAAACCAAGTAAGGAACAGCTTTGTTCAGGAAGGGGGCTGCTCGCTTGTGTTGTATTTCACTCAGGTGGCCTCACACCCCAGTGTCTTTCACAGAAGACATGTGAGTGTGCAGTTTCCCAGGGATGCTTTTGCAAACTGAGGGCAGAGCCAGGAGCAGCCCCCAGGAACCCCTCTGGGGTCTCCTCGTTAACCTCTCTGCAAACAAACCTTTGGGTCCTGTTAGGCGAGCGGGAGTGCTCGCAGATGGCAGAAGGTGGGTACTGTGTTCTCCTGAGGATAGCTGAAAACGGACCAACCTTTTCCTGCTGCTCTGCTGAGTCATCCCAGCTCCCAGTCAAGTGACCGGCCCCTCCGCTCGCCCACTGAAGAGCAGTGCTCTGCTTTGGCACGCAGTGTATTAGGGGTAGTAGTTGCCTGATCCCATCCCTTTTGGGCACTGCATCGGAGAGCTGTTGTGCTCCATTTTCCATGCTGGGCAGCTCTCGTCTGCAGGAGAACATCTCCCGCATCTCACGTCCCTCTGAGGGCAGGAGAAGCGATGTGAGCCCCAACGCACAGCGCACTGGCTGAAAGTGCTGGACCCGCAGGTCTTGGGCAGCTGATGTGGTGGTGAGGAAAGGCTGGCGTGCTGAGAAAGGAACCAAAGCAGTGTCTAGCAGATGAGCTTTCTGAGAACACAGCACTGCGGCTCAGTAAGTCCCGCTATTGCTGTCACTTGCAGCCCTGCCAGAGGCATGCAGCAGCTTGGATGTGCTGTGTGACATGGAGGTAAGGGCTCACTCGGGTTGCATACACACACGTTATGCTTGGTGGTTTTATCCCTGCACAAAGATATGACTCCACTTTGCATTTGGTATTTCCCATTTTGAGTTCAATGAAGATTTTGTGAAGCTGTTCAAGAAATCTCTGTGCACGCTCCCCTCTGTTGGCCTGCCCACCCTTCTGGCCTACAGATCCGAATTGTCACGAGAAAACTTCCGAATTGAGGTGAGTCAGTGCTGGGTGTTCCCTCCTGTGTGGCTTTTTTGTTTCATTCCTCTGATTCCCACCTAAAGAAAGTAAAAATAATGCCCTTTGCCAAGCCAGTGCAGGAGTTCCTTTATGAAAGGGTTTTTCTTTTGTGAGGCTGTTGAAACCACACTTCTTGTGCACACCTGAACAGCAAGAGGCTGTGCAACTCCTCTCCCCATAGTTGCATCCTGTAGTGAGAATTTCCTAGCAGATGTTGCCCTTTGGCTAAAAGAGATACAAAATTTATAGAAATCCTAGGTATCCAGCCAAAGAATATAGGCAGGGCATAGAGTTTCCTGTAACCCTGTGCAGAGTGAAGTCCTCAAAGAGAGTTGGTCCTCGGCCCAAGGTGGAGGGCAAGGCAATTTCCAGTAACAGCGCTCCAGGGAAGCCAAGTATTTCGAATTAATACATTCAGAAAGGGATGTGAATGAAGGCACTGAACACACAGTACAGTAAATGCAGTGTAAGTGCCGCACAGCAGGTGAGCAGTGCAGAGCAAGCGCCCCTCACCCCTGCCTGGGCTGGGGAGCTCTGTGCCCCCAGGAGCGCTGGGCTGGGTCCCCTGCCCTGGGAGCAGAGGTGTTGGACACCACATCCAGCAGCATGTGCTGCGCAGCTGTGTCTTCTGCAACTCAAAAAAATGGTATTTATCTAGTGCCCATCCTCAAAATGTGTCCTGCAGCAGCCCCGACTTGCGTCTGGTCAAATGCACTCAGCTCTGTTGCTGACAAATCTGCTGGTGGCTCCTTGTGACATTCCCCACAGATTTTCCTGTGATCAGCACTGCAACAACACGGGAGCTTTTTCTCTCCAAAGCCACAAACAATGTACGTGACAGGGTTAACACACCGGACTGCTTGGCTATAGCATCCTGCACGCTCTGAGGCTTTCCCCTGAAGGAATAGGTCTGGTCAACACTGCAGTCATGCCATTCTGTGAGGGCTTTTATTTATTTCCTACAGATTGACGTTTCTTTTTGGTGGTGTCCTGAACCTAATGTTTTGAGCTAAATCGTCCCAAGATATCGCAGACCCAGATTTGTTTTAACTACTCTTACACGCTTTATACCATTGCATTTTGAGCGGAGCCCTCCTTCCCCAAGATAAACTGAGGATTTTTGTGCCGATACCATATTTCCATCTCCCGTGTTTCCTCTCCCCACCTCAGAGAGAAGAGGACCCTGCACCAAGGTGTGAGTACTGTGGCAGCCCGCTGAGGCTGTTCCCTTCCTTCGAGGACGTTTGCGCGCCATCGCAGGACTATGACTCGGTGAGCTGGGGGTGATGAGCAGAGGTTTGCTGCGGCAAGGCCTGCTCCATGGCACTACTCTGTGGCACCACTCCTCTGCCTTCCAGAAATTCTGCTGCACACGTAACCGGGACCTCTACGAGTTCATCATGAGGGAGAGGAGGAAGCGCGAGGGTGCCAGGAGCGCTCCCGCTGCTGCCAGCCCCCGTGAAGCCCCCGTCAGCAAAGCTGCCAGGCCCCCAGAGAAGGAGAGAGCGAACCAGAGGTACTGGGACACGACTGGGGAGAGCTGGGGAGCAGGTCTGGGTAAGGGACAGGCAGCTCTGGAGGGAAAAGAAGCGTCAAAACCATGAAACGGCAGCGAGAGGGAGTGAGAGAAGAACAGAACTCGCTTTAGGCAACACAAGTTGAAGTTCTCTGTGGGCCCTCGGCTCTTCTCTTATCAGGCTGCACTGGATGGTGAGGTATGTGCTGAGCAAAGCATCAGTTATGCTGCTGTCACGTAATATCTAGAGACGCATAGAACCGAGAGCATGACTGCAGCTGTGGAGGGACAGTATTGGGTCCAGCTGTTACCTCAGGTGCTGAAACAAAGCTGGAATTGGTATTTCTCTGTTTTGCTACCTAAACTGTGCCATACGTTTGGACTGCGATTTCCAGAGTCACGAGAACTCTGCAGGTGTGCCTTGTGCTGGGCCGTTTGCAGGAGAACCAAAGCTTGTGCAGGCACCTGAGCCCATGGCAGAGGCTTGTAGGAAAGGCAACCAGGACGCCTGGGAGTGAACCGCGCGTTTTCTTGAAGATCCTCTGTGGTCCGATGGTGCCAGTACCTCGTATCTTGTACAGAGCATAAACCAAAGCCATTGTAAAAATCTATCAGGTCTGTAGGAAGCTAGATGAGGAGGATGGTGAAAATATTCCCAGAGCTTGTCTGTTTTCCTGATCTTGTGGGCAGCTCTCCTGTTTTACGTAAGACCTTGATGCAAAAACCAATACAATGTTTAGCTCTGCTGTCAGTAGAGCCGATGCCATTGCAATCGCAGAGTCCATTCACTGAAATCTCTGTACAAGAGCAATTCCTTTTTGCTGAGATATTATTATTTTGATGATATTCTGTTGCCTCTGTTATTTGCAATTATATGAGTGGAAGGAAAACAAACAGGTTCAGAAACTCGTGTTCCTGCGGCAAGGGTGTCCAGCGCCTCCGCCTTTCCAGGCAGGGCACATGAGGTGTCTATCGGGAATGCTTTTGTTTCCCAGGCAGCAGGAGAGGCAGATGGCCATGGAGCTGGCTTCCCTGGCAGCAGAGCTGGCGAGCGAGCCTGAGCGTGAGTCTGCATTTCCTCATGTGCTTACTTTATTTATTGCGGTGAACTCAATGGAACTGCTGGGCTCTGACACTCCCTAATTGAACTGGAGGATTTATACAGCCGCGTTAGTCCACTGTCGAGTGTGCAGTCCCATTAAATTGGATACTGCCACGTTAAATAGTCCTTCACATGAAAACACAAAAGCAGCTATGTTCCCATCGCTCAGAGGGGATCTCCCTGCGGTGATTTTCAGTATTTGTATCTGAGCATTTCAGCTGGGATGCACAGACACTGACCTCAGAGAATACGAAGTTGGCAAAGGGAAGCCCTCAGAAGGCTGGAGCTGCCAGAATTTGGGTTTTTCCTCATCAGGTGAATGCTCCACCAATCCCTAGCCCAGGCAGTGGGTGACTGAGCAGCCCTTTGCATCAAGCTATAAAGTGAAATGCATTTTGACTAAGAACAGATGAACTGGATTTGCAATACGAGCACATTTTCATAGAGGCTGGCAGGGCACCGAGGCTTTTGTGGCAGCGAGGATTTCAGATCCTCAGCCCTCCAGAGCACGCAGCCACGAATGCCATCCAAAAAAGTCATTCTTTACTTACACAGATGTATATATATATATATATATATATATACACATAATTAAAAAAACCCAAACCCATCTTTTTTCACAGTCTGGTTCTCTGACATAGCAGGACACCTTGGACTGTCCTTGTTAGACAGAAAATACCCCAAGACAGGCCCCCAGGACAGGCATTTCACCAGAAACTCCCACTCAAGCCACAGCCCCACTGTGGCGGTGCCAGGGGGGCTCCGGGGGGGCACTACTGCCTGTCGCACACAAAGCCCCCGTTGCTCCTCAGGCTCAACCCACGCTGGCACCATCTCCTACCTCCTCTCTCGGGAGCCACCGTTGCCAATGGGACGGACGCTGGTGCCTCTGGGGAGTGCAGCAAGGCCTGAGGAGGAGGAGAGGGCTCTCTGCAGCGTCACCTGCTGTGACTTCGCCCTCACGGGCGGGAAGGTGAGTACCGGCCACGGCCACGCTCCACAGCCACACGCCCGCCCACGTGGAAAGGGCCATTGCTGCAGGACCACCCTCATCTGCTTTATCTTTGCCGATCCTAGGTAGTGCAGAATAAGTTGTTGGAAAAATACTACAGACACGGAGGGAAATTCCTTACCACGCTCCCCGATGGAACGGCGCAGTTATTGTATCCTTACAGGGCTCATTTGCCTGCATTAGTCCAGGGTTGTAACTGTAATTTTGCTTTCAGTCTGAAAACAAGCAGCAGTGAAACCGCTCACACAGCTCTTGGTCTGAGGTTCTCCCCAGCAGCCCGTGGCTGCTCTTGTCAGTGCAAACAGAACACTTCAGTGCAGGAGAAAAGGGCTGGCAGCGTCCCAGTGCCACGGGCACACCCCCCCCCTCCACTTCAACACAGCGATCTGGGCAATATGTGCATTGCTGTGCTCCAAAGCAGCGCTCTGAAATAGTAGGTGCTCTGAAATGAGTAGGTGCTAACAGACCAAGCAAAGAGAGGGGTTACCAACGCCTTACCTGATGACAGCTATCCATCGGGGAATCTGGCGGTCATTGTCGTAAGAGAGAAAAACCAGCTTGTTTGCATAGTGCAGGAGGACAAGCTGAATAACGCCAAAATCCAAGCAGTATTCAAGTCCAACGGCAGAAGCACTTGCTATTACCCCAACGGAGCAGTGTGGTACGTGCGAGCTGGTCAGAGCAGCTTTGCTTTCCAGTGCACACTTTAAATTTGAGGTCATAAAGGGTATTTTAATAGCATTCGGAAATTGAAAGACAAACACAGTGGCTGGTGGGCCCTGCTTCTGGTTCCCCCAGAGCAGCATCCCCAGCTGTGTCCTGTGAGGGCCAGGACCTCAAATCAGCAGTGCCCCAGTGCTGCCCTCTGGGAAAGGAGGGACACAGGCATGGGGGCTGCAGGGTTCAGAGCTTTGCCTTTCCTCTTTCAGGATAAACATGAGCATTTGGGGAGGGCAGTGTTTGGACCAAGCAGGCAGCAGGGTGAGGAGGTGGACGTGGCCGAACAGCACCACATCAACAGAACTCCACGTCCCGCTGAGCCCCATCTTCATCTCCTTGAACCGGCACGTGGGGGTCCGGATCCTGGGCCAGGACAAGATCACCATTTCCTTTCTTGCTATGGGGCAACAGGCGAAATTCAATGTGGGAACCAAAGTGCAGGTACTGCTCAGGCAGCTCCACGTGGCCGCTCCCCACGGGAGGGGTACAGCCAGGGAAGCTCCCATCCATGGGGAAGGATGCTCACCCCACAGTGGGTGCTCCCCATGCTGACTCCCAAAACAGCACAGTGCAGGCATACCCATGTCCAGTCCATGTGGGCAGGGTGCGTGGCAGCTCCCTTCCTCCATGGGCTCCTGCCATGGGGACAGGTTTGCCCACTGGGGAGCCGCCACAGCCCAAAGCCCCGTCCTGCACTGCTGTGGCTCTGCTGACACGGTCTCCCTCCCCAGGTCAGTGACAGTGTCCGGCTGCCTCCCCCGGCCCAGCTGGGCGACGATGAGCTCCTGCTGCTCGCCTTCAGGGTGAGGATCCTGCGGCTCTTCGACAGACTGCGGGGATGCTTGGACTTTCCTTCTAACAAGCAATGGGAGAAAATGAAGCCTCCGGTGTATCTTATCACGCAGACTCTGAAGATCTTGCGGCTCTGCACAGCTCCTGACATAAGCGATGAGCTGCGCAGCTCGGTCAGGGCAATAGTAAACACTCAGATCTGACCAGCATGCTTGTGGTGTGAAGGCAAAAGGAGCCAGTGATGCTCCCCAACGCGGCAATGCCCATACATGGATTTGCCTGCAGCCCTGTGTGGCGCAAAGGGAAGTCCATGGCCTCCTGGGGCCATCCCCCCCCAAGGGTCTCAGCACAAGCAGGGCTATGGGCAGGCAGCCCCAGAGCCCCCTTTCTTGTCAGCCCGCACTGAAGCGTGCCTTGGCCATGGAGGCAGGCAGAGGGGCTTTGCTCGGGGCAGAGTAAATCCGTGCTCAACGTCTGTGCGTGGCTGCTGAGCAACCTCCCCTCTGTCTCCCAGCACAAACCAGCCCAGGCTGGGCCCTCTTCTCAGCTCAGGGGTGTAGCACAAAGGTCACAGAATCATTGTGGCTGGAAAAGGCCTTTAAGATCATCGAGTCCAGCCGTTACCTAACCCTGACATGGCCACCAAACCGTGTCCCTGCGCACCACAGCCAGATGGCTGTTAAATACACCCAGGGCTGGTGACCCACATCCCCAGGCAGCCTGTGCCACTCCTCAGTAACACTTTCGAAGCTAAAAGCAAACCCTGACACACAAAGAAAACACCAACAGGTAAAAGCAAGCATTAACGTTACCAGCAGTGTAGGGCATGGGCACACACCCACCAGCTGCCCCCCAACCTTGCTGTGCCCAGGCCATCTCTGAGCTGTCCCCAGAGATGGAGCAAGGGACCGTCCCCTGTGTCCCCCTGTGCAGGGCCTGAGGTCGAGCAGTGAAACTCTGCAGGCCTGGGCACAGGGCTTGAGTGAAAACCTTTGATTGGATTAAATATCTTACAAATTTTTTATTTAAAAAGATGAAGATCACCCCTGGGAGTTTGATTCTGACCTGCTGCACCACTGTAATTCAGTTTTTCTCAGGGTTATGATTGACGCCAGCGCGAGATGAGACCTGAGCAGACCCCTGATGTGTAATGGCCCCTGTTTCTGCACTCGTGGTGGGAAACCCAAGGCCCATTTTTGTCATCCTCTGCCCCCAGCTCACAGCAGCTCCACCAGACCCTGTGTCACCTATCCTTGTGTGTAACAAGCCAAGACCAACAAGCTTCAATTTGGCCTCAGATTTATTATTTAATGTCCATTTTTCACGTGGGTGAAATCAATCAAGTGTTCAAATGGCTTTTTCAGATAAATGGGACTTTAAACCTTCATTTTAATATTGCAAAGCAGCATTGTGCAGGAGGGGAGAGCAAAAAGCTGCAATTTTAACACACCACTTGGGTATCAGGGCTTCCTGTTGACCCTCTGCCACTGGCTGTCAGACCCTTCCCCACAGACACCTTTAATAAGATTCAAGGAGGAAAATCCCTTTTCAGGATTACTGAATACACAGCAAGACCTGTGCTGAGCACTTCTGGAGGCTGGGAGGGGAGGGTGGAGGGGAAGCAGCATACAGTGGCCCAGGGTCTGCAATGCATCGATGAGAACACAGTGCAGTGAGCAGACTGTGAGGGACCATCAACAGGATGGCAACGCAAGAGCTCATGGGAGTGCACACCTGTGTACTTGTTTTCTGTCTGACTTGAAGTGTACCATTAAACTCTATCCACACTGGAAAAGTCTGGTGGATCTGTTTCAGAAGAGTTGCTGTGAGTTACCTCAAGAGATGATTTCATCACAGTCCAAGCAGCCTGGGGGCTGTTGGGTGTTTAATGGTGGTGATGAACACCACCTTCGCAACTGGCACCAGCTCCTCTCAGCTGGATGGGCAGCACTGCGGTTACCTGGAACATCCCTGACCCGTCCCCAAAGCCTCGGGGAGGGTTAAAGACAAGTCCTACAAACCCTGACAGCTGCTGGCGTCAGCTCTGCAGCATCCCCCAGTTCACTGCTCCAGCAGGGAACACCCTCTCCCCAGCCAGAGGTAATGAAGTACTCAAGTCCTACCTGGTTCTACACAGGGGTGAGGCCCTGCAGCAGAGTAGCCCAAGCACAGCACAGTTGGGAGCTGTGGGCTTTGGGCTGCAGCTCACCCCATCCCAGGAACCCAACTGGGAAAGGTCCCAGCCCCACAAGGGAACCGCACCGGTCTCATGACTTTACCCCAGCGCGCCGTCCCTGGCGCAGCGGCACTCGAACTCGCGTCACAGCGGAATTTTGGGAAGAAAAGGTCTGCGTGGTCCTTCCAGAATGTGGAGGTCCTCAGGGCTCAGACAAGACAAACACAACATCAGTGACTTTGGAAAGGAGGCTTTTTATGCATTTTTTCAATTGCAATTCTACGAATATCCATCAGTGACTCCAACCAGGTGCTTCACACAGTAAATGAGAACTCTTTATTTAAATTAACTTTTTTGGTTTCTATTAGGACAGTAGAAAGGCCCAGCTCTTCATCTCTTCACAACGGTCAAGGAAAATCCTCTCGAGCTGGCCAGCATGATTTAGAGAGCAGCTGATCTTAATTTTTACCGAAGTCACAAAGTTATGTAACTACCCTGCATATAATTTTGTTTACATAATTTAGTATATAATGCACTGTTCAACTCTGCCATATATTTTGAAAAATATACAAACCTGCTTTAACCACCTTAGAGGGATTTGATAGACAGCTGTCAATTACTCAACAGTTTTGGACAGTATCAGACACTCCTATAGCTTCATTTTAAACTACAAAAAGAACATAAATTCATATAAAATACAACAGATTAAACAAACTTTTTTCCCGAGGAAAAATTAGGTATCAACTCAACCTGCTATTGTGTGAAACATGAATATAAAATAAGTTACAATTAGTAATGCCTGCATTGTTGAGCTATGAACTGGTCGAATGAAATCTTAAAAAAACTATACAGTATTATTGCACTCCATGGCTGTGCAGTATCTGGACCAGGCCAGCACTGAAACGGCTCTTCCATTGCGTCTTTTCTCAGGAGGCGCGACACGGCCGCCAGAGGAGCATCCAGCCTGCGCCAACAGCGCGCTGTCTTCAGCGCCGGCCTTCATGGGTCTGCGCCGCGCGGCCCTCAGAAACCACCACGGAATGCCTGGGGACAGAGACACCAGCGTTACCACTGACATCGACCCTACCCGCAAACACCGCCACCAGGCTTGGGCTGTGAACCAATCACCCACCCCGGAGTGCAGACCCCGAGGTACGAGCACCGCCTCCTGCAGGTGGGCTCTTACGGCAAGAGAGTGCTGGTGCTATTTTATCCTGGGTGTTTGCCTACAAAGACACCATCAGAATGACAGGACACCGGCACAAATTCAAATAAGGAGCCATTAAAGCACAAAGTTGCTACATCCCAGTATCAGACTCTCCTAAGCTGCAGTGTTATTTCCCACGTTGAAGAGAATGCAAGTGAATGGGGACTTTTGCTGTTGTTTTTTTAAACTCATCCTATCAAACAGAACTCTACGTGAGAACAGTCTGGTTATGCTTTGTAAGCTTAAAAGTAACATCAATCTACTCTGCCACAAAGAATGCTGCCTGGGACCCTCCCAATCCATACACACGGGATGCTGCACTTCAGCATCTGAAAAGTACAGGAAACACCAAACCTTTTAATACTAAATATTTTAAAAATATGAAACAACTTATTCATGATTAAGGTGGCTTTTGCTAAATTACTATGACAAAGCAGACCTAACTGGACAAACAGGACATGCTGCAGGAATCACATCCCCTGCACAAGGCTTCTGAGGGGGCCACCTCTCCGAATTGCTCTCCCTACCTCATGGAGCTGCAAGGGCATTCATGAGGCAGAAAGTGACAGGGCAAGAAGTGGGGCTGGAAGGCTGAGCTCTGAGCAGCGGCAGAGCAAGCCCTCTTTAGAGTGCGGTTTCCCACCAGGAGCGACACGGCCTGCAGTGCTGACAGCTCAGCTTCTCCAGACCTTCACCTCCATGGGATACGTTCTTGTGTACGTAAATGTGGATTTGCAAAAGCCAAACTACATCAAACAGAGCTCCAGAGGAACTCTGTGGGCATTTGGACAGAGCCAGGTCACCAACTGCTACAGCTGGGACCAGCAGCTCAGCTCAGGGCAGTAAGATTGGCTGCAAGGTCTCTGTGCACAGGGTGTGCCACTTGAGAGCAGGGCAATGCCAGAACCCAGCCTCTCAGCCGAAAAAAACACACCACATACTTCAATCCCATACTTCACTGAAGTGCTCTCCTCAGTGTCAACTGCCAATTTTTGCACTAAGAGAGTCTTTTTGTAGCACACCAATGTTCCTGTGCAGAATCGCAAGCTAAATGTTTTGGAAGTCACAGGTGACACAGAAACATGGAACTGGCTTGTCATAAATTATATATGGTTGGACTCGATGATCTTAAAGGTCTTTTCCAACCAAAACCATTCTACAATTCTATTCTATGATATACATGCAGATGCAAACCCTCTGCTCCTAACAGCCAAGGAGTGTTTGCAAAAGGTTAAAACAGCGTAAAACATGGGTGGGAGTAACAAAATGTTCTATTTTCTAGGGCCATGCAATTCAATTAGGTTAC